TCGATTCTACTGCTCGATGGCGCGCCAACTCGACTGTCTCAGATCCCCCTCGAGTCTGCCTCTTCCATCCAGATCGCGGATAGACTCCACGTTTGCTCACAGGACACCGTGTTCGGCCGTTCTCTTTCGAACGAGCGCGAGTTTATCAGGATTGGTTGGCGCTCGAATCGATGGAGGATGTTCAAAGTGATTTTTATCGCGTGCTGATCGACTGAATTTTGTCCGCGAGATTCGTAAGGCTATCAGATGCTTTGCTCTCGCAAATTTTTATAATTCAGTCGGGCGTTAAACGAAGGTCTCTGTTTTGGGAAATTTTTCAATATCTACGCAACGTTGAACGCTTCTTTTTTTCCTACGGCGTAACAAGAGTCTTTGTTACTTGTAAAACTATTTGATTTTTTATTATCCAGGCTTTCAACAGTCCGTGCGGTAATAGATATCGATTGCAAGGAGAACTTTTAAACGAGGGGAAAAAATTCGTGAAAACCAGCGAAATTTACCACAGTGTACCCTGGACAATCAGCCGCGCTTCTATCTGCAGTCGGAAAAAGAAGAAAAAAATGTTTCACCCTCCATCGGATACAACCGCGCGTTCAAACGACACGATTACGAGTCACGCGGGCTATCTGCCAATGGCAAACGTTTTATCTTGCTGGAATCGTGGCCGGCCATTTATCAAAATCGTCCCCCCTGCCGATGGCGCCGATTCTCGCGGATCGTTCCGTTCGCATGAATCACATTCAACGGGCGAATAATTAATAATTCAAAAAGAACACGCGTCGCGGGTTTCATCGAGAATTCATTTGCTATTATCGTTCACCGGATCGATCGAGGTGTTGCCAATAACGATACATTCGTTGCTGTTACTTGAGACTCTTGACTGAAAAATGTTATTGGAAATCGTCGCTTTTGCTAAATTAAATTTAACAATTTAATAACCAAAATTGAGAAATTCGGTCTGCTTATTAAATTAAATTTATATTATATATATATATATATATATATATATAT